TAATAAAAAATGTGAAATAATGCAATCTATTCCAACTTTTGTGTAAAACAAATATAAATTAAATAGTTCAACAAATGTATTTGTTTCAAATATCAGAAATATGTTTTTTTAATTTTTAGTTATAATTTACAGGAAACTATAAATTTAATTTTTTTGACGACACAAAAAAAAGTTTATTTTTAGCTTTATTTTAAAACAATAAGAAATAGACCTGTCAAACCCTATATTTTTGTAATCAGAAAAAAATAACGAATTTAATAAGCGAATAATCAGTGGTTGTTTCCATTTAAGAAAACGAAAATTGTCTATAATAATAACCAAGATAATTGCACTTGTTGGTTTTACGATATTTTCAATTTTGGCCTCTAGGGGAAAAACAAAACACGATAGCGCTTTAAGGTTTTCGGCGTTAGCAGATGATTAGCAGTTTCTCGAAAAACGAGATCATGACATGTAAGCTACTTTTTTTCTAACTTTATAGTTTCCAAGTTAGCCTATTCGGACATTGAATTTGAACCACCCTGTACGTGTACTACGTGTACATTATCCGCCAATTTCTATTCACCCGGTTAAAATTTGACAATAAATACATGAAAATAAGATTAATAACGTTTCGTTGATTTCACTATTATTTTCCGTGTGCGGTTGAGTTCCCAACCGTATTCTCTATTCATGTTGTTCCCATGTCTATGAATCTCTATCGCCTCTCTCGTCAATCTTTGGAAATAATGTTCGTTTCTTGCTAGCACTATGGTTTTGTCAAACTCTATGGTATATCCTCCTTTGTGGCAAAGCTCTGCGACTGCAGATTGTTGGATTTTGCTCAGACGTACATCTCTCTCGTGTTCCTTGATGCGGCATTCGATGTTACGTCCAGTTTGGCCAACGCAATATTTCCCACAACTGCACGATAGACTCCCGCTCCCTTTAATGGGGTTGGTTTGTTTTTGGCTATCGGAAGAGCGTTTTGTATTCTGCTAACCGTACCGTATCGTACCATAATATCATTCTTTTTCAGACACCTCGTAATTTACTCCGTCATACCTGAAACATAAGGAGCCAGATAAAACCGGCTGGTGTCATACTAACCGAGTTATCCTTCCGTTTGCGTGGTTTGGTGGCTCGTTGGATATCCCTCATCGTATAGCCGTTCTTCTGCAGTACAGGGTGTCCCGTTAAGCGTACGGAGCGGCTGTATCTCTAGAACGGTAAGGCCTAGAGGTTTGGGAAAAAAATCCTTATAAGCAAAGTGACCAAGAGAAATAGCTGGAAATTATTTTGAAGTTCGTAATTCGACCGCTAGGGGGCGTAACTGCCATTGAGAAACATAAAGTTCCCGCTATCTCAGAAACTTAGACGATGAGCTATAACTTTGACAACATCATTTAATAGCTTGGATAATAC